GCGTGGGTGACCGTAACATGGCAGTAATGAAGGCTGCCATGATGATGATGACTTCAAGCACCATGAAGACTAATATATTTTGTGTCGATGAACATTTAGATATCTTGTAACTTCGTTTTGCGCCAAAACATTTGCAGAATAATCAATAGTTGTTGGTTTTTAAAAGAACCTGATACCTAAATAATAGTTGTGGGCTGTTAGTAAGAAACGTGGATATGATCATGACACCCACTGAAACATCCAAACTGTTCTCTGTGAATTCACATGCACGTACAAATTATTTGTCAATGGTCGAGGAGGAGTCGAAATTGAAAGTTTAATTATTCAATTGTAGGATAAATCTAATTTTTGTCAACTTCATATTTTTGGCCTGGCAGGGGATGTTTGACGCGTTCAAAGGCGCAATCCCTTTACACATGTTTCAGATGAAATGTTAAGGTGATGAGTCGAAGCCAGGTCTTGTTCGTGAACTTCATGAGATTTGTCACCGTGGGTCCACACGAGTGATGATTTCCTGGAGATAACGTCGTATCGTGGGGATCAAAGGGGTTATTGTTGGTTACGTCGTATCATGGGGATGAAAGGGGTATCATGGGGATGAAACGGGTTCCTGGACATAACGTCGTATCGTGGGGATGAAAGGGGTTATTGGTGGTTACGTCGTATCATGGGGATGAAACGGGTTCCTGGACATAACGTCGTATCATCGGGATGAAAGGGGTATCATGGGGATGAAAGGGGTTCCTGGACATAACGTCGTATCATGGGGATGAAAGGGGTATCATGGGGATGAAAGGGGTTCCTGGACATAACGTCGTATCACATAACGTCGATGGGGATGAAAGGGGTTCCTGGACATAACGTCGTATCATGGGGATGAAAGGGGTTCCTGGAGATAACGTCGTATCATGGGGATGAAAGGGGTTCCTGGACATAACGTCGTATCATGGGGATGAAAGGGGTTCCTGGACATAACGTCGTATCATGGGGATGAAAGGGGTTCCTGGTGATTACGTCGTATCATGGGGATGAAATGAGGAACTGATGCTGTGGCAGAAACGCAGATCTTTATAGTTTCATCTTGTTCTGTTTCTACAAAGCCTGGGGCGGTGGCGTAGCCCTAGTGGTTAAAGCGTTTGCTCGCCACGCCGAAGCCCGGGTTCGATTCCCTACATGGGTACAATGTGTGAAGCCCATTTCTGGTGTGATATTGCTGGAATATTTTCTTTGAGAGGCATTTAGAAGTTGGGTCAGTAAGGAAGGATCACAATATATTGATGAACAACTTCTTTATAACAGTGAGAGATTTCATTGTAATAAAAGAAGTTGCTCATCCATATATTGTCATCTTTCCTTGCTGGAATATTGCTAAATACTCACTCACTCTACAAAGCCTCCTCTTTGGCCCAGTAGACATAGCATCTGGTCGGAGATTGGAAGACCGGTAGTTCGATCCTCTTCCCGTGTTATAACAAAATAAATGAAAGCATCGGACAACATCCGGCGTTAAGGAAATATAGTAAAGACATGACACCTCGGAGTCAATGTGGTGTGTCTGAGAAGGGTATCTACGGTACCATGGTGAGCGAGCACTACAGAACCGGCTTAAATCAAGTATAAGCATCACAAACACACACACACACACACACACACACACACACACACACACACACACACACACACGTCGCTGTATCAGTGCAATGACTATGAAGCACTGCACAACATACGTATCCTTCCATCCGACACTTGACCTCCATAATTACTCCATCCCGGTTCGATAGTTTCCACGTACAATTGAGTGTTGTCCAAACGAATGCTGACGCCTATCGGGCAAAAACAACCTCATTCACTTAACGCTAGGAACTCACGCATATATATTGTGGCTATAAGCTCCGGTTGAATATACAGAATCACGAAGATTTGCTATTATTAATCAATGTCAGATCCGACGTATATTTACCAGTTAAGCGATATATTAACCAAGGACGTGAACTTGACCATTCATTTCACGCTATATATCGACTTTCTGATTAAGGTTAAACCAGCGCCTGATTTGAAATCGTGCTATTTTGCTCAGATCTGTATTACGTTATATTTTCCATTCAAAGAGATCATTTTTGCCACCATTTATTTCGATTTATGATTATCCGACTTCAGCTTCAATGGATGAAGCCGTTCAGTTTGATGGTCACGTGGCACAATGATGGCGGACCCTGTCAGTATCAAGAATGTTAGGATCCATACATAAACAAATCACGACAGTTGAATCGTTCCCATGATATCCAGGAATGGTGCTGTTATATTAAGAGTTTTACAACACGATAGGGTTTTCATACTGGTTAGAGCTGGTGGGGTAGCCCAGTGGTTAAAGCGTTCGTTCGTCACGCTGAAGACCCGGGTTCCATTCCCAAAATGGGTACAATGTGTGAAGCCAATTTGTGGTGTCCACCGCCATGATATTGCTGTAATATTGCTAAAAGCGGCGTAAAGCTAAACACACTCACTCACCCACTCACTAGTGCAACCACTCGGTGTAGAGTTGTGTCCTATGACACTATAAATGCATGCATTCTGATTGCCCGACACGATTTCTGGTTTGTCCCAGTCTAAGTAAACTTAGGCTCAGTATTATTCGTTACACTGCTATACTGAGTCTAACAAAACCTTGTGGAAGGTCGCGTCAGGTAACCTTTGAGCGACCTATGACCGCCCAATCAAACGCGAGACGGCCGAACGGATTTAACCAATCAGACAACGGCTACTACTTAGGGTTCGGCGGTACTTACAAAATGGATTTTCTCTTCCCAGGTCGCCAACACTGATCTCACAACAAATGAAAACCCGCATACAACACAGATATTTGCCCTGCAGTATATACGCTTTTGGGTTTCTGTTGACATGGTTATCATTAGCTAATATTTCCGCAAGCTGACATCCTTGAATACTGACAAAACGCTATTTTCAGCGACTGTTTACTCACTGTTGTGGCGTGCTCCATGTGCATCACTCGGAAGCGATCGTACGGAAAAAACATTCGGAATCGTTCGGGTACAAAACGTTTTCGAGGTAAAAGTTCAAAAGGTATGTGCGAATGTCAACTTTCGCGATTTGGTAAGCTGTGGGTTTATATTGGTCAATTGAAAAGGTTACCTGACGCGACCTTCCACAAGGTTTCAGTATAGCAGTGTAACGAATAATACTGAGCCTAAGTTTACTTAGACTAGGTTTGTCCGTACCATGTTTCTGCTAGTGTGTTCTGTTAGTGTGTTCTCCAGGGTGCCAAACGTCTCAGACCTGCTTATGACATTTCCACCCGAGGATCACTTACACGCGGTGTGGTGACTGAAATATACGAACATTTTAACTTTGTTCCATAGCAATATAATATCATACAAATTCTGGGAAAACGTTAGGGATACATGTTGGGATATTTTTGGCGAAATTGTGTGCTGAATGTTTCAAACAAAGATATACTACGCAACATTCATCACTCTTAACTTCGTCTTATTCAGTATACTCGAGTTGAAGAGTGCTCGACCTCCCTGTGGAACAATCCACAATCTTCATTGACACGCGACCAAACCCTAATATCTTTAAAATCGGTTGCATAAAACGTTCATTGGCCTAATAGTTCAGACATTAAATTTACATGTTGAAACTTAATAACGGTACTAATGTCACAATGTTAATAAAATTTGATTAAATCACATTTAATGTAAATTAGTTGACGGGGGACTCCTGATACCTTAATGGATCTTTAACGTTTGATACGGCCTGGTCCAGTTAAAAATCCTAAGTTAATATCCTGTCACGATGTACCCGTGATGGTCCGGGTTAGAATATTGATCTTCAGTAACCCATGGCGACTAACGGGATCGGGTGGTCAGGCTCGCAGACCTGGTTGACACATGTCATCGGTTCCCAATTGTGCAGATCGATGAAAATGATGTTGATCACTGGATTGTCTGGTCCAGACTCGATTATTTACAGACCGCCGCCATATAGCTGGAATATTGCTGAGTGCGGCGTAAAACTAAACTCACTCACTCACTCACTCATGTCCCGATGGTTGTCATGGTAGCCTGCATACAGTATACACTTGTCACGTCAAAGGCTCGTGTAGGATGGTCCGTATGGGTATCAACCTGTCTTTTCGCCAATGGTGGAGTTAAATTTCTTTTAACCCTTTTTTCTCCGATTGGTTGTGTTTAATTTCCTTAGAAATGCCCTCTGCATGTGTCAGCGACCTGTAACACTTCAGCCGTTCTTCCCACGTTAAGCTGAGACAGTGATGTGATGAAATACGCTTCAAAGCAGTGTTTAAATCCAACTCACTCATGCACTCTCTCTTCAGGTTCAGTGATCCGATAAGGACATTGTGAGCAATGGTGTCAGTGTTGTTTAGCTGATAACATTTCGAAAACGCTTCCAATGTTTGCTCACAATATTTCAAGTGATTGCTCCCTTTTGCCCGGTAGTATATGTTTAGAATGCAGCAATTTAACACATTGATGTCCAAGGTTAGGGCGCGTTCTATGAGGCGAACATATCACCGTGGGAGTCTCACCTTCCGTACTTAGCATAGCATCGATGTGATTAGGTATGGTTTTACGCCGCATTTAGCAATATTTCAGCAATATCACGGCTGGGGACACCTGAAATAGTCTTCACACGTTGTACCCATGTGGGAATTCGAATCATGGTTTTCGGCGTGACGAACGAACGCTTTAACAATAGCGCCACCGCCAAAAAGCTTCGACAGTCGCAGAGGTGAGATCACTGTGTGCAACAGGACCCTACTCTTTTATACAAGGGGCGGTGGGGTAGCGTAGTGGGTAAAGCGTTCGTTCGTCACGCCGAAGACCCGGGTTCGATTCCCCACATGGGTACAATGTGTGAAGCCCATTTCTGATGTCCCCCGCCGTGATATAGCTGCAGTATTGCTAAAAGCGGCGTAAAACTAAACTCACTCACTTTTATACAAGACACAAACCTGTAGCTGCATGTAAAACAAATTTAATGCCATATAGTTGCTAATATGTACAGAAGGAGCACAACGAACAAAGACGATAGAAACTGTTTGAACACAGTCGGTATTCTCAATAACCGTACATGTAAAATATACAAAATAACTGACATTGGTCTGTTTCTCTAACGCCCTCTCCACCACCTTCGCAGACGACAGGAAGTCACGTGACAGCCCACACGAGATTGACAATCTTTGAGCAGATTGGTTGAAATGAAGGTCCCAGCGAGTGACATCACTTCCCCCACGCTCTCGACATGCATCTGCAGTTCTGCATCCAGAGGTTGCATCTACAGACCAGCCGGCGAGGGTTGCAGCACGTCTGCTCTAACTCCGAGGACCAGGGGACACAGAACTGGTTCCACTCTCGGCACTCGAGGGCCTTCCGACGCTTGCTCACGTATCTGTAGGACACACGCCTGGAAAATAGAGATAATTCTTAATTCTTGCTAAATAACAATTTACCGTGTTTTTCTCAATCACCGTGATACTTGGTCAAAGAAGACGACCTTTCCTAGGAGATCATTCATATTTTACCACTGATTACACACTCCACCGTTATATCTCAAAAGTAAGTGCTACACCGTAGTAGTAGTAGTAGTAGTAGTAGTAGTAGTAGTAGTAGTAGTACATGTAGTAGTGTTGATACAGTAGTAATAGTTGCTGATTTTGTTGATACAGACTATATGCCTCATCTGGACATGTGTTATCAAAACACTAACCCTGGTCAGCCAGATCCCACTCTGGCTATGTGAGAGAAGTAGTAGTAGTAGTAGTAGTAGTAGTAGTAGTAGTAGTAGTAGTAGTAGTAGTAGTAGTAGTAGTGTTGATAAAGTAGTAGTAGTGTTGATTTTGTTGATACAGACTATATGGCTCATCTGGACATGCGTTATCAAAACATTAACCCTGGTCAGCCAGATCCCACTCTGGCTATGTGAGAGACCTGTTTTGACAGAATCTGGCTATGTGAGAAACCTGTTTTGACAGAATCTGTCTATGTGAGAGACCTGTTTTGACAGAATCTGGCTATGTGAGAGACCTGTTTTGACAGAATCTGGCTATGTGAGAGACCTGAATCTGGCTATGTGAGAGACCTGTTTTGACAGAATCTGGCTATGTGAGAGGACACTGTAGTAGTAGTAGTAGTAGTAGTAGTAGTAGTAGTAGTAGTAGTGGTAGTAGTAGTTGGAGCGCCTTTCCGGAGATCGGGGGAATACGCCTATACTCATGGAGTACAATACGCCTGTATACATGGAGTACAATACGCCTGTATACATGGAGTACAATACGCCTGTATGGAGTACAATACGCCTGTATGGAGTACAATACGCCTGTATATATGGAGTACGATACACCTGTATACATGGAGTTCAATACGCCTGTACACTTGGAATGCAATACCCCTATTCATATGGAGTACAATACGCTGTAATCATGGTTTTCCTGCTTAGGTTCGTATTCAAAATGATACTTACATAAAAAGTAATAAAAAAACATATGTCCTTACTTCAAACTTTCAATGCTAGCAACCATTCCTTTTTTAGTAGTTCATACTTCCAATAGAATTACAACAAGACATTTCGCAAACACTGTCATTTCCGTGCGTGACTTCCAACGCCGAATTCGTCGTTATTTAAGCAATACCATGACCACCTAAATAAATCAGATTTGGATCAGACAAACCAGTGACCAATATCATGAGCATCGGTCCTCGCCTTTCAGGAAAGTAGTCACTCTTTCTACCACAATCGGGTGTTGGTGACCTTAGCCAGCCAGTTCCCGCTCCATCTGGAACGGCATGGGGAAAATCCAACAAGGAATCAATTTGTTGTTGTCTTTCCAAACTGGCACCCGTGAAAATTTGGGTTAGAATTGATCTTCAGGAACCCATGCTTGTTGTAAGAGGCGACTAACGGGATCAGGTGGTCAGGCTCGCTGACTTGGTTGATACATGTCATCGCGTAGATCGATGCTCATGATGTTGATCACTGGATTGTCTGGTCCAGATTAAATTATTGACATACCTCCGCCATATAGCTGGAATATTGCTGAGTGCGGCGTAAAATTAACTCACTCACTCACTCCAAACTGTGATTTGTTTCAAACACGAAACATATCGCTACAGTATGGTGGCTGATTAGGGCCATCGCTTTCTCGCCTTAAAATTCGGAGGCGAGAAAGCGAGAAAGCGATATCACGAGACGAGAAAGCGATATCACGAGACGAGAAAGCGATAACACGAGACGAGAACCACCATACTACAGCGATTTTTAAACCCGTCTCAGAGTTGACATTTGTAAGATGAATCTTGAATAGAATTATACAGAAGGATTCTTCACAACACAGCATTTTCTCATTTTAGTGGTGTGTTTTTTTTCGGTTTGGTAATCTGATCATGAGAAATTACTTCAAACGACTATCACCGCCCTCTTTAGAAGCGTGGAATGGTGAAACACAACCCGTTCTCGTACGTAAACACACAACCTATGAAGGTTTTCGTAATGTCGGTTTTGTCTTACATCGGATATCAGCTTCATCAGCTGCCAAGAAGTTCAACAATCTACGTCACAGATAAATTGACTCATATAGCAAAAACCGGTTTAGATTCGTTTTCATCAAACATGCATGTCGTAAGAGGCGATTAACGGGATCTGGTTGTCCCAGTCGATGCTCGTGATATCGATCACTGGATTATCTGGCCCGGACTCGATTATTACAGACCGCCGCCACATTTATAGTGGTTGAAGAAGTTATACCAGTGGTCCAGTATAGCATCTATGTAAGCCAGGTATGGGCTTCCGTGTTCATCAGAGGCGTCCTCTATACTTGTACCATGATTTCCCGTGTGCTTTTAGGGAACAGTTACCTTGCCTTTGCATGCGTTTGTGACCAGTACCACCGGCGCGGGAGGAGAGGCTGTCCTTTTCGCGTCTCCCTGACTTGGTTGACACATGTCATCGTATCCCAACTGCGTAGATCGATATTCATGCTGTTGATCACTGGATTGTCTGGTCCAGATTAGATTATTTACAAAACGAGGCCATATATCAAGAGTGCGGCGTAAAACTAAACTCACTCACTCACCCTTATAGCGAACACTTGGCGCCGTCACCATTCGTGAGTGATCTTAAACCCATGTTGAGGTAAAATGGATTCTGCTTTAGCTCAAATTACTTATGATCACGGAAACGTTTTGTTCCTTTATATTTTCATGAAAAAGCTTGACGATTTTTTTCCCTTTCACGTTTATCGATTTTGCATCAACTGTGAAACCAGCTTGCAATTCAATAAGAAAAGCAAACACTTTTCGCCCACGATGTTTTACTAACTCGTTGAAATTGGATCGTGTTTAAATACACGTCGTCCGTGGAAATTCCGGGTCAAAATCGATCACAAGCAACCTACATGTATACGTCCATTACAACCTAATATATAAGGAGGCGGTGGGGTAGCCTAGTGGTTAAAGTGCTCGCTCGCCTCACCGAAGATCCCGGTTCGATTCCCAACATGGGTACAATGAGTGAAGCCCATTTCTGGTTGTATTGCTGGTGTTTTCCTGAAAGCTTCGGAAAACCCAATTCACTCAATATACGTATGGAACGGGTTGTAAGTCCCAGTGGCAAAGTTGAACACATGTATCGTCTCCTAATTGATCGTAAGAGGCCCTAACGGGTTCACTACTTAGGATTAATGCTGAATATAGCTGTTAGACAACAAAGTAAGCACACGTGATGCGTTGCTCCCATGCTTTTAAGAGCAGGTATTAATATTAATCCTGATCGTCTTCAGCAAACCATACTTCCTATATGTGGTTACATCGAAGATTGATTTCTGCACTAACTTGGGGGAACTAACTGCAAACTTTATGCAGATGAATTGCACGAGGATCATGCATCAAATTGCTGAAAAGCATGTGCAAAGATCGTGCATGTTAACAGCTGCGTTTTGGTGTAAAGTTTTGTAAAGAATTCGCCAATTTTCACTGATTTGTATCATTTATTAAACTCATGACAATAATCTTTTCAACGTTACGAATTTGTTTTACAATACATCAGTTCATGTGTAAACTATACCTTTAAACAGTGTGGAATATTTTTCAAAATTTAGTTTAGAACAGTTGCCTGAAGTAAGTAGCTATATTTACACTAGTGAGTCTAAACTTTTGATGGGTAAAATGTTTCTCGAAAATGGAGACTAGCGGAATCGAGTGGTCAGGCTCGCTGACTTGTTCCAAGATGGCCATATACTGAACCCGAAAAGGAGTCAAGTAGTGCCCGTGACCTTAATTGCGAAACCACAATCTGATTCGGTAGATCTACAGTATCTGTGGAGGAAACCTTGGCTTTGCACATCAAAGATGATTCTAGTACCAAGCTTCGGGACACAGCTTAACAACAGTGGATGGCATGTTAGCCAACGGCTTCATACAAATGACCTTAGAGTACGGGGATATATCCTCAAGCATAGATAGGTTTCCATGGTTACCAACCTTTTTATACTCCTAAGTTGTTGTAGAGCTTCATCGTTCCTTCTCTGTCTGTTTATCAAGTCTGGAAAAACAAAATACCAGGATTAGATTGCAAGTTGAAAATTAGCATCTTCTTGTTGACGATAAGGGATGATGGGGACATGTCAATCATCCATCTACAATGGACCAAATTCCCATTACAACATCCTCCCTAATTTCACTTATATTGGCACGTAACAGTTGTAACCATATACCTCACAACCAACGCACACAGAACATTATAGATGATAGCAGAGACATTAAGCAGTGTTTCCATTTCTAATGTAATGTTCTCGTGTGTTAATACATCTATCTAATGGGAAATACTGAAACAAACATGAAAACTAAACCTAGGAAGCAAACAGATCAATAATAATGGGAAATGTGGACATTCCTTATAACGTTTATCAAAATATGGTCGATGGTAACTGCAGGGTGAATCACCCACGCTCATAGGAAAGCTGTAATATATACTAAAAGCATATTATAGATCTCTTAAAGGGGGTCGACAACAAACATTGGCTCTTCTGTGGGAAAACGTTAGAAAGGATACACCTTCAAGGGATGCTGGCTACGTTACAAACCGCCTTCGGATTCTGGCTTCGGTAAACAACCTATCGCTAATACAAGGAGGTCATAACTCCAATTCTCTAACGTACATTTGCGATAGAGCTACGGTCGCTTTGTGGCGATTGCGCAGCCTATTGGGTAAAGCGTTCGCTCTTCACACCGAATACCCGGGTTCGATTCCCCAAATGGGTACAACTAAGTTGTGTGTTACGTCGACGCACTGCCATGCGCGTGAAGTCGACATACAGCGTTGAGGGTAATTAGTCCAATGTATTTTAAGTCGACGTTCTTAGATTAAAGGGGCGGAGGGGTAACCTGATGGTTAAAGTGTCCGCTCGCCACGTCGAAGACGCGGGTTCGATTCCTCACATGTGTAAAGCACATTTCTGGGGTCCCCCGCCGTGATACTGCTGGAATATTGCTAAAAGCGGCTACAAATCATACTCACTCACTCACTTAGATTAAACTTGGAGCTTCGGATGCATGCTAAATAGGCGTATACATAGGTATATATGGCAAATTCAAAACTGACAAAAGAAATAACTGCAATACATATCGCAATATATGCTTTCGCATCGCAATATATCGCAATATGAAATTTTCTGCAATACCCACCCCTATTTATTACACCCGGGACACCTGCATGGTCTGGTGGATAAGGAGCCTTCCTGGTGAGCAGAGAGTCAGTAGTTCGATCTCCGGCCGCGTCATACCAACATGATACTTGTTTGTGCCCTGCCTGGCGCTCCTCATTGAGGGGATACGCAATGACGTCACTTTGCTGAGTCTGAGTGAGGTATCCATGTTAAACTGCGATATGGTACCTCAATATGCTAGCATAAGCATAAGTCTGAACGAGTGCCAGCAAGCAAGCATGCATGCACGGACAGACTGCAAGGGACCGTACCACGCATCCTGAACACAACGTTAAGCCCTTTTCCACCTCCCCTTGCCTAAGAGAATTCGACTATCCATCAACCTGTCAGTATAACCTTAGGTCTAAACACTCGACCTATGTGTCAATGTTAATGATGTCAGTTATGTTGAAAACTTGAGATCGTAACTTGCCAATGTATATATTTAGCATTCATGACCATTCGTGTCATTCCAGGGTGCCGTCGTAGAAAGCAATCTTAGCGCTAAGGCGACCGTAACTTTAACCTTAACATATACCCATACCTAGACTTACGACTAGCTCAGACTGACTGACTGACTGAGTTTGGTTTTACGCCGATTTTAGCAATATTCCAGCAACATCACGGCGGGGGGACACCAGAAATGGGCTTCACACATTGTACCCATGTGGGGATTCGAACCCAGGTCTTCAGCGTGACGAGCCAACGCTTTAACCACTATGCTACCCCACCGCCCCGACTAGCTCAGAACTGAGGCTGCTTTGTACAACGGCACCCAGGACAATAGCGTTATGGATAGGGTCGAGTCTGTGTTTAAGTAAGTCACCAGACCTTACAAACTCGAGCCTTAACTACAGGGAGTGAGTGCGTGTGTTTTACGCCGCTTCTAGCAATAGTACAGCACTATCATGGCGGAGGACACCAGAAATGGACTTCACACATAGTACACATAGTGGTGGGGAATCGAACCCGGGTCTTCGGCGTGACGAGCGAACGCTTTAACCATTAGCCTACTCCACAGCAGGTCGCCAGAAATAGATAACAATGGCTGCTCCACACTCGATGAGAGCAACCTCGTTGTTTATAAAAGCCGAATGCCCCTGTGCACTATAAGGTTATGTATCAAGGCAGAGACTATTTATACGAAGACAAATGAAGCGGTAACTTGTTTACGACTGAGGATGTAGAAATGAATCTCCTCTCAATCAATATGAAGACTGATCTGATATCGGATTCTTTCTGTGTATCGCATGTGTATCGTACCTCACATTTTATTGCAGCTGGTAATGTTAAATACTGGCAGATGAGTATGTTCCTAAACCGTAAAACATAGAATCAACAGACAAATGGCACACTCCATATACAACCGTCATAGTGACTGGAATAAACTGGTACTGGTCTCGTAAAATGATATACAACACACGTAGTAATCATTACTAGTGTTTGACGTCATAAACCTATAAATCTGGGCCCTTTAGCACGCTTTTTCTGGAATGGTTGCAACTGAGATTCCAGTTTTAAACGAGAATATATCACAGAAGAAAAGACTTCTTTAGGCAATCTATGTCCTCATTGTGGATGAACACATTGCCATTTGTGGAGTAGATATCCCAATGCCATGTTCAATATGTTAAGACTGACTGAGTTTGGTTTTACGCCGCTTTAGCAATATTTCAGCAACATCATGGCGGGGGACACCAGAAATGGGCTTCACACATTGTACCCATGTGGGGATTCGAACCCGGGTCTTTGGCGTGACGAGCCAACGCTTTAACCACTAGGCTACCCAACCGCCCCAATATGTTAAGAGGAATTACATCAGAATTATGAGGACTGAAAGCACGCGATATAAAGCCTCTGAAACCTTCCAGAACTCCCAATTTGAAACACATCCCAACCCTCGTATGTACCAGGCCTACATAGAATTGTCTCTCAGCGATAGTAACTTTCCACACTGCAAAGTCATTTCGTTGCAACTAGCTCCTTAAGAGGTTTTCTTCGGATGATTTATATCGGAATGTTATCGTACATGTGACATCTCTTGCCAAAATGAGTTCTGAATTAGCATCACAAGCATAGGGCTAGATTATCTGATCAGTTACATCTCGTAATGAGGGTCATTAGCAACGGGCTTGTTTAATGGTGCGGATATCGGAGTAATTATACCAAGCGTATTTCTCACACACATATCATAATATCGATCCTGGACAACCAGTGTGATCTATAAATCCCCAAGTCATTCATACAGATGAAATGCCTCTTGCAGAACGCCTTGGTTCCATTCCTGTAATCGATACACTAACACCCGTGCTATATAATCACTCCGATGTTTGGTGTTTGCATACCACGATGGAGAAGTAGCGGGTCATTCGATCAATAAGGGTCAGCTTAGTCCGCCCCTCCCACGACCTATCACTAAATCCTCCCACACAAGCCGATTTCCCCCACCCCGCCCCCTTACTGAAGTTCATCTCTTTAATCACCCCTACAACAATCTCTCACATCCCCCTGTCGCCGTCCTGACATGTAACGCCCCGGAATCGATGGTCAGCAAGGGTCAGAGATGAATTTGTCCAGATCTTGGTGCCGCTTTTTGAAGTTCATGCCTTAATGTTGGACGGTGGTGTGATTGTTACTGTTGCAGCCGTCCTGTCATTTTCGAATTTACTGCCAGCTTCCGAGGAAGGCTAAAATGTATGGAAGAACAATTTCTCTATTACATTAGGAGCGATGGTTCACTTTTGGTTCTGACACCATTGTCAAGAACTTAAACCGAAACGTCGCTCCTAATTGTGAAAGGTGTTGTCCATCCATATATATCATCCTTTATTTGCCACTCCAAATTTCATTTGCCTGTTCCATCACTTTACAGAAATCATTCCAGGACTTTCAGTTAGCCATCACAATTCCAGCACAGCATACTATTTATATATCTCTGAATATGTTACTTTTATTCGTTTAAAGCTACAGCTATATAATCTGTACCTAACTTAATCAGGAATATCTAGAAAAAGAACTTCTCATGACAATTAAGAGCGACGGTTCTGACACCGTTGTCAAGCAAGTTAGAACTTGCACCGACACATCACTCCAAATATCATCCTTCCTTAGTGCACCAACTTCTAAATGTCAATCAGAGTTAAAATCCTTGTTTGTAGTGGAAACGTATAGTTGTCGTTCATCACTAATACCAAATAGTAGCCCAAGAGCCCCATCCAGGGATGAAGAATTACCAAGTGCTACGTCTTCTACGTGTTGTGTGTTCATAGCTGTCCATGATCCACAGATAGGATAGCTAACTCAGCTGCGATTCCGGGACGACAGAGCCATAATAATTCCAGCATAGCACAATTCTTACATATTTCTGAATATTTTACTTTCATTTGGTTAAAGCTGCAGCTATATGGTCTGTAAATAATCGAATCAGGACGAGACCAGACAATTCAGTGTTCGCATCACGATCATCAATCTCCTGCGATAGGGTGGCATCGATCAACCAAGCCAGCCAGCCTGACCACCCAATCCCGTTAGTCAACTCTCACGACAAACATAAGTTACTGAAGACCAGTTCCAACCCATATATCAAACAGGTACACTTAAGTTTATCACAGTAGGCAGTAGACATTCAAACACTGTTCCTCTGTACATAAAAGGACCGCCTCCGTGGTGTAGTGGTTAGAGCGCCCGCCCGGAGAGCGGAAGGTCGCGGGTTCGATCCCCGACCGCGTCATACCAAAAAACGTTAAAATATGGTACTTGTTGGTCCCTGCCTGGCGCTCGGCATTAATGGGTACAACAAGGACTGGTCGGCTCGATATAATTTTTGTATGATGTATAATGTGTCTGAGTGGGATATTCATGCTTCACTGCGGCATGGTATCTCAGTGGGCTAGCACTATAAAACCAGCTTAAGTCTGGGCTAGTACAAGCAGCCGCACATACACATACACACGCATGCACGTTGTCATATGAGCGAAATATTCTCAAGCACGACGTTAAACCCAATTTCACCTCACCTCCTCTGTTACAGTGGTACATTGACAGAGCGACGCTCTCTACACCGACAACAACGGCTGAACATATTCATCCATCGTGAGTTTAAAAAACGAATAATAACATTATCATGACGTTCATTTCAATACAGAAATAATAAGTTCGTCAGAATAATGATTCGTTTTATATCGACTGAACAATTTGACAGTTTATCCAGCTACATCAATATTAAAGCCCATCAAATCATCTGAGAGAAAACATGAAAGCGAAGGAATCGTCAAACATAGTAATTGTTGGTGTAACGACTATCTTTGTTTTCACAAAGATGATAACAGCACTGTCTCTGACGTCCTATTAATGTATCCTAATGTTTTGCGCGTAAACACATTCGTAAATAGTGCAATCATTTCATGTTGTTCAACAATAACATTCGCTGTATCTTTGATTCTGAACACGATGTGGTACTTAATTTCAAATAAAAGATATGATGCAATGGAGCTTCAAAGTAATTAAGGTTGCAGATATTATTTAGCACCATTCTAATAAACCAAATTCAAGGATTATGTTTTGTGATTATTATTCTGTTTGTCATTTGTCAAATATTATAATAAATTATACCCTCCGAGTAATAAACAGTTGGGTTTTGTGCCCATATAGTGAAACTAACACGGGTTCGACACGTGGAGCCATTCTTTAACCACTGTGCTACCCTGCTTGAGTGAGTGAGTTTGGTTTAACAGCGCTTCGAACCGATATTTCAGGAGTATCACGGTTTAATTCAGTTTTGGTACGGCAGTCAAATGTTATGCAGATTTCACTTATTACTTGGGTGAGATCCACGAACATTACAGCCGATTAACAAACAATCAAAATCGGGCCGAATCTGCGAGACGAGCTCAAGATTATTGGATTCTGCGGCCTAGGGTGAAATAGTGAATTACGGGAAATTCAAGAAATTCGAGAAATGTATATTCCAGGGCATTATATATGTAACTTGGAGTTTATACCACAGTAAGCCTACCCTACAACGGGTATGTATCAGAGACATCCGCCCCCCCTCCCCACAACCATCAACTGACTCCACTATCATATACCCAGCAATATTCTTCGTCTATCACGGCTGGGGGTAGATGGGAAGACCAAGCTTAGGCTTCAAACATTATGCTTTCAAACGTTGTTGGTCTGACTTGCTGTCGAACCTTGTTACTACAAGGCTGATCCACTTAAAGTCATGAATAGCAGGGGCGGTGGGGTGGCCTAATGGTTAAAGCGCCCGCTCGACATGCTGAAGACCCGGGTTCGATTCCCCACATGGGTGCAATGTGTGAAGCCCATTTCTGGTGTCCCCCGCCGTGATATTGCTGGAATATTGCTAAAAGCGGCGTAAAACCATACTCACTCACTCACTCATGAATAGGATAGACGTAACACTAGAAACATAATAATTACGTTTATACCAACAATACGCTTTAAGCTTCATTGCCAAATGTACGGTAATACCAGCCTATCCTTGCCCATCTTAAAGACCACTCGCATATCACTTATTTTTCCAGTTTCCAGTAAATCATTTTTTGCGTTCATTTCTTACTTTGTAAAATTAAAGCGTAAACATTGTGATGCATTATGCATTTCATTTTAGAAAATAAAATAAGAGACAACCGTATAATTAATTTCTTGTAGTGTTCGATCGACTCAACAGACTATGAGTGAGTGAGTGAGTGAGTGAGTTACGTTTTACGCAGCTTTTAGCAATATTCCAACAATATCACGACGGGGAGCCAAAAATAGGCTTGTACCCATGTGGGGAATCGAACCCGGGTCTTCAGCGTGACGAGCGAACGTTTTAAGCACTAGGTTATCCCACCGCCCCCTCAGACGATGGAGTGGATAGATAGTATTAACACTGGGAGATGAAGGAGAAAGTATTAATGGCGGGAGAGCGAGGAGAGACTCACCTTACCTCTGTCGTACTGGGAGGACGCGGGGACCAACAGCAGCAGGAGGACGTAGACGACACCGGACAGCTGCAGCAGCGACACCTTCCACCAGCTCTACAACACGAGACACCGACTACAGTACATCGAACACACACATATAAGCTTGTTCAGTAGGTTTACACAGATCACTAGCATATAAATGTTCAGGGTGAAGTTGTACAGGTGAGTGAGTGAGTGAGTTTAGGTTAACTCCGCACTCAGCAATATCCCAGCTATATGGCGGCGGTCTGTAAATAATCGAATCTGGACCAGACAATCGAGTGATCAACAGCATGAGCATCAACAACATTGGGATACGATGACATATGTCAACCAAGTCAGCGAGCCTGACCACCCGATCCCGACGATAAGCGTGGGTTACTGAAGATCAATATTCTAACCCGGACCTTCACGGGTATGAAGTTGTACAAAGCGATCTTAACGCCAAGGTGACCGTAACTCCCATACCTTAACATAGACTTAAGGTAGTCTTAGCGCTGGGGTTGTTTTGTACAACTGCACCCTGAATGTTAGGCAGACTAAGATATCGACGAACTTATATGTTCAGTATTTTCTATCACAGAATAGATAGTAAAGTTTATCACAGAACCTACACATGTTCAGTGCGTTAATCGCAGATGTACGTATGGACTTCACAGATATATCCGTGACCTTATACTCGTTCAGTGTGTTTATCACAGAACTTTCATTTATCATCCAAAACTGTGTTCCAGAGGAGATATCGCTTGTGTGAGATCAAACGATATCTCCTAGGTGATCTCACACAAGCGATATGCCCTGACAATGCTATGACGTCATGTACTTGATGACGTCACAATGCTATGACATCGCAGCACTGCAAGTCTAATGGCAGTACCATGTTCAGAGATGTACATTTTTCATTGAAAATTAATGAAGAGTGATTTTGGATGATAAATAGAATCTCACCCTCGTGTCTTCTGATATCAAATATATCAACACTTGTTGATAAAAGTAAAAATATCCTCGGCAAGCCTCGGATATTTGTAACTTTATCAACTCGTGTTGATATAATTGATATCAGAAGACACTTGGGTGAGATTCTCTATTTATCACAAGTATATAGACTAAAATAAACATGTTCAGTATGTTTAGCACACGTAGACATCAACGGACTCATACATTCAGTACGTGTAACGCAGATATATCCACGAACGTTCGGTAGCTTTAACCTGAAATATCCACGAACCTGTACATTTTCAGACACACGTGTTAAGTAAGTATATCACAGATATATGCTTGACATTATATGCGTTCAGTACGTTCAGTGGAGGTAAACCCCCTCACATATATATGTACAGTATGGTGGTTAGCTCACGCACACGCACACGCACACGCACACGCACATGCACATCAACAAGTGATTTCGTCAGATTTTTCCCGGCCCAACGGTTTTTCGGGTATTGAAGAACTGAACAGCCGTTGCGCGGCGGGAATCTTGTATCCATGACGTGGTGTGAAAGTACACATAATCTGAACTTTATTATTTAAGTATTAAACATTATATATTCAGCATGGTTATTACAGATCAGAGTTGGAACCAAATATATCAGTGTTTATATCACGAGCACCATACTGCACCATCTGGACCCGAATTTATTACATTTAGTTACAATTTTGCCACGTCAGCAAATACCATGTACACTATACCTACGAGTCGTCTCAAGTCTACGATAATGCCCCTTACCCCCAAGACAACATCCAGACATCGACACAGACAAAATTGAACACATTACTGAGCACAGTCCCCGTACAGTGGAGGAAATGGCTAGGGTCCGTACGACGGCACGGGGCATGTCTCTTCAAGTAGACGCTGGGTTCAAAGGAATCGACAAATTATGGTATTTATGACAATCTACAAAAGGCAACTTTGGGCCCTCAGATAATTGCTAAAACCAGATAAGGATACGAGCTCATCAATCAGAACAGCCTCCCTTTCCTCCCACGCTGACAATTGCTTCATCTGCTACTGGGTGATTTCCATCTAATCCCTCTACAGTTCCAAATTTCATTTGATCTCATCCGACCATATTATTCTATGGCCGCTCCAAGCGAGCGAGAATATTTCCTGTTTTGCTCAGGCGATGTTCAGTATCGTTGGATATTTACAGAAATAGAGTCATTTTATATGAATAATGTTTATATTAATAAAGATTATTGATTATTGATGGACGTGGGTTATAACTATGTGCCACTTACACATATTATTCATGGCGATAGAGGTGGGGATCGGAGGTAATAATGGACAATTTCTGTAAATGCGTCAGCAACTTTGACATTTTTAGGGTAACGTTTGAATTATTGAAGTAATTTCTTCACATCGTATTCCTCTGCCAATACACACCAGATGTAGAGCCGTGCTTAAGATACGAGGCATCTAAAACTTAAAAGCTACTGACATCAGTATGCACTCCCACGAGTATTCGACATGAAATGTCTGGATGGAACCACCTAAAGGATAAAGATTATAATACGCTGAAATAGACAGGGAAAGGGATGATGAATATTTTAGGGATATTTTTGAAACTGTGTGCTCAGTCATCACTACAAAAGACATCCCCTGACACATATTAATGATCTTTAACGTATGTGTTTCGTGAAGTGCTAAATCATTTTCATAGCCGCAACTCTGAACTAATGGTAGGCTGTCAAGCAGGCCTTGTTTTCAAATATCGCTCAAGGTAGTACTTGAATCAGTGAGTGAGTTTAGTTTTACGCCGCTTTTAGCAATATTTCAGTAATATCACGACGGGGAACACCAGAAATGGGCTTCACACATTGTACCCATGTGGGGAATCGAACCCGGGTCTTCTGCGTGACGAGCGAAAGCTTGAACCACTGGGCTACCCCATCGCCCCAGGTGATAATTGATCGGATATTTGTTGTTGATATTGGATCGTTGGTTCGTCAAACAAATAGCTGGAGACGCACGCACGCATGCACACATATATACTTTTCGCACGTGTGAGCGTAATAGATCGGAATATAAACGGTTTATGGTTCTGAGACACCATGCCAAAGTTTAACATTATTGACACAGTATACAGACCCCTAACTGACCAATCCTAGTTCTATCCCCTTAATACCGTTCCCTAGGCAGGAAGCGTTTTGTCCGATGCGAGCGGGGATCGAACCAACGATCTCCCGCTGTCCAGACTGATGCTCTACCCATTAGGCCACGATCCCAAAGCTCCGAACGTCTACTTCGTTTAGCTAGCGTATCGTGACATTACGTGAGGTGAGGTCAGGTGAAATTGGGTTTAACGTCGTGCTTGAGAATATTTCGCTCATATGACGACGTGCATGCGTACGTGTATGTGTATGTGCGGCTGCTTGTACTAGCCCAGACTGAAGCTGGTTTTATAGTGCTAGCCCACTGAGATACCATGCCGCAGTGAAGCATGAATACCCCACTCAGACACATTATACTGACTCCGAGCCGACCAGTCCTTGTTGTACCCATTAATGCCGAGCGCCAGGCAGGGACCAACAAGTACCATATTTTAACGTCTTTTTTGGTATGACGCGGTTGGGGATCGAACCCGCGACCTTCCGCTCTCCGGGCGGACGCTCTAACCACTACACCACGGAGGCGGTCGTGACATAACGTACAAACGTACTGCGGATTTAAACCCAACCCATTCACTTCTCCAGGATGACTTTGTTAACCGGTGGGTACCCTTGAACATCGGTTACTTCAACTTCAAACGTCAACTCCATGAATATTCAGTATCGAAACACGTCAAAGGCAAAATAAGGATGAAAATCATTGGGATGGATCACTGAAAATCCAGGTGTTCAACGGAGGGACGCTTAATGGCTGTGATACAAACTTGTATCAGTGAGTGAGTATGGTTTTAGCAATATTCCAGCAATATCACGGTGGCGGAAACCAGAAATGGGCTTCACACAATGTACCATGTTGGGAATCGAACCCAGGTTTTCGGCGTGACGAGCGGACGCTTTAACCACTAGGCTACCCCATCGCCCCTCAAACTTGTATCAACGTCGATGACACTGACAAACATACGTCAACGTTGTCCGGTTCAGAACAATAGATAAACCTATATCTTACTTATGTTTTGATCCTCACGTTAACGCCTTCAAAAGATTAATGTTAAGAGAATATGACACCTCTTTAACATAGTACCATATCTATGGCACGAGTATAAATAGGCTTTGGATAACTATGTGACGCAAAAAAGATTATTCCGTTCATGCTACACCAGCGCCCCTGTTCGTCAAAGCGATCGCAGCGTATGATTGTTTTGTTTTTTTTAAACATATGTTATTCACTGAGAAAAGGATTAGGAACAAGTTCTCCAACGTAGAATACCCTCTCCTTGGTATGTACATAGGTACTTAAGATTTCCGCAATAAAGATGACAGATAGTGGACAAGATAGTAGAATAACTAAAAAGAGATAGAGCTTATACAGAATAATATCAATATGCTATACAAATCGTTTTGCCTCACTAATGAACGATTGCACTAACTTGAATACTTTTGCATTTTCACATGATGATAGGTCTGCACTTCCTTCTAACAATAGTTTAAGGTCGACTGAAATATCTGCTGATGAACAAATGCGCTTAACTGATAACATGAAGTTAACTCTTTGTTGTTTGTACAGTGGACATTCAAACAGATAATGATACGAGTTCTCAATAAAATCACCACATATACAAATGGGATCAGTTTTCATTCCAGCTCTGTACAAATCAAAGTTCAAATAACTAACAAAATAACGCAACTTGGTATGAATAATATTTGATCTTCTTTTACCACACGAATAAAACTGAGGTGCATATGCATGATTATCAGTTATACATGTGTACATGATTTAAAAGTTGAAACACTTTTTGAATTACGAACGGTGGTTGGTAAATTGTTCCAAGAGCATATTGCAGATGGAAAGGATTCTTTTGAATGTTTAAGTCTTGGAATAGGAATTCCGTTCATGCTACACCACTGCCCCCGTTCGTCAAAGCGATCGCAGCGTATGATTGGTTGGTTGGTTGTTGTTTTACGCTGCA